AATAATAATGAGACACAAAAACCCAATAACTGAATTGTCATTATTAAAAAAAAAGTGATGCATGTACACTGCCATTTTTGGGATCACTGCCATTTTTTATTATTGTTTTATTCAGCAAGGCCACATAAATTTGATCAAAAGTGACAGGACATTCATGCATAATGACATACAAAAAATCTATTTCAAAGAAATGCTGTTGTTTTAAACTCCATACAATATAAGCATACAGTGACAAGGGGGTTTCATGGTTGAACATACTATACAAAAGTTTTTAAAAGTATTATTTTATATTAGTTTTGAAAGGTTTTATAAAAGTATTATTAATAATTTTATTAAGGGGGGGATGCATTAAAAAAATTCAAATAAATGCAGTTCTTCTGAAATGTCTATTCATTAAAGAATCCTGAAAAAAAATGTAAGCTTACAATGTAAAATTAAATTTTCCACAAAAACATTAACCAGCACAACTGGTTACAAATGTTTTCAACATTGATAAGAAGAAATGTTTCTTTAGCATCAAACGTCTCAGTTACGTATGGTAACCCTTGTTCCCTGATGGAGGGAACGGAGACGTTGTGTTGAGTGTACGACACTAGGGGTCGCTCTTGGGAGCCCAAACACCTCTGACATCTTTGAGAAAAGTCCAATAAAATTGGGTGTGCAGAATTTGCATGGCTGGCCACGCCCCGGACATCTGGGTATAAATAGGCCAGCATAGCATCTGCTGTCTCGTTCTGTTCTGAGGAGTCGAGAAGTCTCAACCCACTCAGAGACAATTCGGAGTTGTGGCATGAAGGACATAACATCTCCATTCCCTCCATCAGGGAACGAGGGTTACCATACGTAACCGAGACTTCGACGTTGTGTTGAGTGTACAACACTAGGGGTCCCTATACTAAACGCCACAACTGCCGAAATGCGTCACGAGTCCACGGGGGCACAGATGTTGACAAGCCAGCATGTCACAACCAAATGCACCTCTCCTCCTCGTAACCCTCTAACGCCCAAGACTTAAGACATCACTCTCCAACATCCGGGAGAGTTGCCATAGAGGCTGATGTCCCCTCAGCCGGAGCCTTATCCCATAATAATACTCACCATAATAAACAGCTAAAAAATCTTGGTAGTAACGTTGGGACAGTAACTATTTCCCCCAGAGGAAAAAGGCACTACAAAGATCACATCCTACCAGATGGGGAGGTAACATGTTAAGATCCACCTATGGACTTACAGAGGAAGTAACACATAGGGATGGTACTGAGGTGGGCTCCATGTAAGGGGAGATCT